ATTCTAGTGACTACTACTACATTCTAGTGACTGCTACATTCTAGTGACTACTACATTCTAGTGACTGCTACATTCTAGTGACTACTACTACATTCTAGTGACTACTACTACATTCTAGTGACTACTACTACATTCTAGTGACTGCTATATTCTATTGACTGCTACAGTCTATTGACTGCTACATTCTATTGACTGCTACATTCTAGTGACTAATACTACATTCTAGTAACTGCTACATTCTAGTGACTGCTACATTCTAGTGACTGCTACATTCTAGTGACTACTACTACATTCTAGTGACTGCTACATTCTAGTGACTGCTATATTCTATTGACTGCTACAGTCTATTGACCGCTACATTCTAGTGACTGCTACATTCTAGTGACTGCTACATTCTAGTGACTACTACTACTACATTCTAGTGACTGCTACATTCTAGTGACTGCTACATTCTAGTGACTGCTACATTCTAGTGTCTACTATATTCTATTGACTGCTACAGTCTATTGACTGCTACATTCTAGTGACTGCTACATTCTAGTGACTACTACTACATTCTAGTGACTGCTATATTCTATTGACTGCTACAGTCTATTGACTACTACATTCTAGTGACTACTACATTCTAGTGACTGCTACATTCTAGTGACTGCTACATTCTAGTGACTGCTACATTCTAGTGACTGCTACATTCTAGTGACTGCTACATTCTAGTGACTGCTACATTCTAGTGACTGCTACATTCTAGTGACTGCTACATTCTAGTGACTACTACCTTCTAGTGACTACTACTACATTCTAGTGACTGCTACATTCTAGTGACTACTACATTCTAGTGACTGCTACATTCTAGTGACTACTACATTCTAGTGACTGCTACATTCTAGTGACTACTACTACATTCTAGTGACTACTACTACATTCTAGTGACTACTACTACATTCTAGTGACTGCTATATTCTATTGACTGCTACAGTCTACTGACTGCTACATTCTAGTGACTGCTACATTCTAGTGACTACTACTACATTCTAGTGACTGCTACATTCTAGTGACTGCTACATTCTAGTGACTGCTACATTCTAGTGACTACTACTACATTCTAGTGACTGCTACATTCTAGTGACTGCTACATTCTAGTGACTGCTACATTCTAGCGACTGCTACAATTATAGTGACTACTACATTCTAGTGACTGCTACATTCTAGTGACTACTACATTCTAGTGACTGCTACATTCTAGTGACTACTACATCCTAGTGACTGCTACATTCTAGTGACTACTACTACATTCTAGTGACTGCTACATTCTAGTGACTGCTACATTCTAGTGACTGCTACATTCTAGTGACTACTACATTCTAGTGACTACTACTACATTCTAGTGACTGGTACATTCTAGTGACTACTACATTCTAGTGACTGCTACATTCTAGTGACTACTACATCCTAGTGACTGCTACATTCTAGTGACTACTACTACATTCTAGTGACTGCTACATTCTAGTGACTGCTACATTCTAGTGACTGCTACATTCTAGTGACTACTACATTCTAGTGACTACTACTACATTCTAGTGACTACTACATTCTAGTGACTACTACTACATTCTAGTGACTACTACTACATTCTAGTGACTGCTACATTCTAGTGACTACTACTACATTCTAGTGACTGCTACAGTCTAGTGACTACTATATTCTAGTGACTGCTACATTCTAGTGTTTTCTCCAATACCTTATACAACAAAAAAAGTAGTATTATTTACAAGATCTAGGCTATATTTTGGATCTTTACAGTTGCTTTACCCAAGTAAAATTACAAAATTCCTGTTTTGATTTGCTTTTGATTAACTATCAGAATTGTGTTTTCCCCTTTTCCCTTGAAGTTAAGTATCCCAATCGACCCTACAACTTTGGTAAAACAAAGAACGATAACCTTAGTTTTCCTAATGGCGTGTGACTGTAAAAGTCATCAGGATTGAAGAAAATACGACGAAAGCCCCCCCCCCCCCCCCTCCACCATCTGTTGCTGCTACTTAAATATCTGTAATTCAGCTTTTTTTTCCTTGGCGTAATGACATCATTAATGCTACAAACGAATTATTATTATTAATCCATGGCAAGCGAACGGATCGACGTCTGCAGCCGACACGGACTGAGACTGTTCATTGAGGGGAGTTAAGAATAAACCCGCGCGCATCTTTCGCGCGCAGACGGCGGAATATCCATCGTTTGCTGCGGGAATGGCGGGGTTGGTTACGTAATTTAGCAATACCTGCTGTGGGAGTGGGAAGAGAAGGGGGGGGGGGGGGGGTGACTTTTCTTATACCATCTGAAAACGCGGCTAACCGTAATTATTTTTATTTGTCGTTAGGTGCGTCGTCAACTCGCGCAGGTAAGCCACGTTCATTAAGAGAGTTTTGTTTGATTCACGTTCAAGGAAGTGGAGATAATTTTCACGCGAGGTAACTTTAAAAAAAATATAACCAGTGCATCATGGTCAAGTCAATTCATAAGTAAAAGAAAATCTTGTAAGAATTTCGAATTTAAAAAAAAAAAAAATTGTTTAACAATTTCGATAAAATGAGGATTTTAACTTTTTATTTATGGATGAAATCATCTCCCGAGGAACATGCTACGTGGAATAATATTTGTTGTGTTTTTTATTTTTATAGATAAAGACATTATTTGTTTTGATGTTTATTTCAAAATCGCTTGATTTCAAACAAGTGTGGACCATTACTGATAGGTTAGTTTGTCAAAATTTTGTGAATTGAGTCTGTATATAACATCGCTGCCTACTCTTATATAGAGAGCTGAAATTAAATTGTGCAATAAAAATGATAGCACACGTTTAGTACTTGAAGCCTGTATTTTGTATAGCTAATCAGCATTACACGTCTAGTGGATGTATGCTACTGTTAAATATTATAGTAGATGTGGTTCAGTAGTTTGGGACAGCAACCCAAGAAAACTCCAAAATCAAACAGGAGTGGGGCCCCTTAGGCGAGAGGATTACCAACTCCTTTCGTCAACTCTCACGACACTGCTGGTTCCAGGTAGTACAGGTAACGTCCTGTCCCCTGGGTCCATCAGCTGTGTTGAGAGATGAGGCCTCATACATGGGCAACATCTGGCTCTTCTCATCTTAACACCCGGACTGTGTGCTTGGATTTCAAAAGCGCGATCATCCAATGGTCTATTAGACTATGGAACCTCGATAAAGTAGTAAAAACAGCCTAGCATTTGAATAGTTGATCATCACTATAATAGATATTGTCGGCCTATAGTTGATCACCACTATAGTAGACATTGTAGAGTTGATCACCACTGTAGTAGATATTGTATAGTTGATCACCACTATAGTAGATATTGTAGAGTTGATCACCACTATAGTAGATATAGTTGATCACCACTATAGTAGATGTTGTAGAGTTGATCACCACTATAGTAGACATTGTAGAGTTGATCATCACTACAATAGATGTTGTAGAGTTGATCACCACTATAGTAGACATTGTAGAGTTGATCATCACTACAATAGATATTGTAGAGTTGAGCATCACTATAGTAGATGTTGTAGAGTTGATCACCACTATAGTAGACATTGTAGAGTTGATCATCACTATAGTAGATGTTGACACCTGTATAGTTAATCAACGTTATAGTATACATAGTCTATCATGTATTTTGGGGAATCAAAACAGTATAAAATGTATTATACTTTGTTTCACTAAAAAAATTAAAATATATATCATAATTGTCACCTCATGTAGTAGATACTAGCACTTTTTTTGGTTGCTAATATTTTTTTTTATATCAGATGAATTAATAGCATAGGCCTATATGGTGAATATCAAAATAAAAATATAATTCAAATGTCTAAATCCTATCAGCATTTATATTAATTTATGCGTATTATAAACCTGCGAAATATCCCGGACCAGTCTAGCTAGGGATTAAGGTTAAGCTCTGATTAACACCTTGTTTAAACTAATCCATTATTGAAACCATAATCTTGACCTAGTGATTTCTACAAGAAATGGAATTATGCTAAATACGCACCTATATTTTCCATACATTAATTTAATCCATTAAGTATAGGCAGAGGGTGCTGATCTGATACAATTGTAGTGCACGTATTCCTTTAAACTATTGTTATAAACGTGTAAGTGGGCTTGGCTCAGCTGTATTGGGTACCTGGCCTAATTTGGGGGAAGTATCAACAACTTGGTTTGACGATATAAAAAAATGTCATATGAATTTGTCTCAGAAACACAAGAACTCTACTTCACCTGTCTTAAAACGTCGCCAGTTGTGAATGGAGCTTGATCTACTTTTTCTGAACTTAAAATTACTATTCTCCTCTCTTTTACTACCGCTTACCTCAAATCACCAACGTATTAGCAATGTGTCACCAATTACACGTTTTCTAACTTCCATTGTATCACCCTTTAAACAGCATTGTATCAACAACTACAAGTTCATTTTCCGCTAACCCTCGTCCCAGTATTGTATCATCACTATATCACCACCTGTAAGTCATGTCCTTACTTTACTTCCTCTCACCACCGTACCAGTATTGTATCACCACTGTATCACCACCTGTAAGTCATGTCTATACCTTACTTCCTCTCACCACCGTACCAGTATTGTATCACCACTGTATCACCACCTGTAAGTCATGTCTATACTTTACTTCCTCTCACCACCGTACCAGTATTGTATCACCACTGTATCACCACCTGTAAGTCATGTCTATACCTTACTTCCTCTCACCACCGTACCAGTATTGTATCACCACTGTATCACCACCTGTAAGTCATGCGTCTATACTTTACTTCCTCTCACCACGGTACCAGTATTGTATCACCACTGTATCACCACCTGTAATTCATGTCTATACCTTACTTCCGCTCACCATAATCCTACAATTATGTGACCCTCATACTACAACATCCCATGTATTTATTTATTATTTTTTGTTCTTACCCCAGCTAACAAGTGTATCACCACCTAGTGTATCACCACCCCTCGTCTCACCACCTGCCGTCTACAACATCAAAAGACAAATGAACAATATCGAATGCTCTCAACCCAAGTCCCATCGGAGCGGCAAGAAAAATGAATTCAAATACACAAGAGCGCTAACTCTAGCGAAGATAATTCATTGATTACCCGAGTGTAGACGCATCGAGGAAAACCCACAATAACTAGACCGTGGACGAAAAATTAAAACAAGCAAATATCGATGATATTTGCATAAACTATTCAGGAATAAATTACCATGTGATGTCATTGCGCGCGAGATATATTCCACAAGGTATACGTAAGGAGGTATACATAACACGGTATACATAAGCCAGAATAACGATAATAAAATGGAGGAAGGTTCTGGAATATTTTTTTGGATACTGTTGTTCTGGACCTGGGGTCATCTTGACCCGTGCTCCGCCACAACGTCTACGTTGATACCTATACTCAGGTATATGAACATCCACGCCCATGGATTACATCCGGCTCTGAGTGAGTACAAGGCGGCTACTGCACGCGCGCGGTGTCAGGCACGGTGTTATAAGGAGGTGAGTTGATCTCTCTTACAGGTGGGGTATACCTGTGGGGCAGGTGGGTTTTACCTGTAAGGCAGGTGGGTTTTTACCTGTGGTATAGGTGGGTTTTACTTGTAAGAGAGGTGGGTTTTACCTGTAAGGCAGGTGGGTTTTACTTGTAAGACAGGTGGGTTTTTACCTGTAAGGCAGGTGGGTTTTACCTGTGGTATGGGTGGGTTTTTACCTGTAAGGCAGGTGAGTTTTACCTGTAAGGCAGGTGGGTTTTATCTGTGGGGCAGGTGAGTTTTACCTGTTAGTTAGGTTTTTTTACCTGTGCTATTGGTGGGTTTTACCTGTGGGTGGGACAGGGGGAGCTTTTATCTGTGGGGTAAGTGGGTTTTACCTGTGGGACAGGGGGAGCTTTTATCTGTGGGGTAAGTGGGTTTTACCTGTGGGACAGGGGGAGCTTTTATCTGTGGGGTAGGTGGGTTTTACCTGTGGGGTAGGTTTTTTATTTACCTGTGGGACAGCTGGGTTTTTACATGTGTGGTTTGTTTTTTTTACCTGTTGTATAGGTGTGTTTTACTTGTGGGGCAGGGTGCCTTTTACCTGTGGGGTAGGTGGGTTTTACCTGTAGGACAGGTGTTTTTTTACCTGTTGGGTAGGGTTTTTTTTACTTGTGGGGTAGGGAGGGTTCTACCTGTGTGTGGGTTTTACGTATGTTGTAGGTGAGCTAGATTTTAAATTATCGCTCTAGAACTCATAATAAAACCCAAACACTCTTTGACTTTCTCCTAAATGTCACAATTGTACTATGTACACTATTTTACTATGTACACTATTTTACTATGTACACTATTTTACTATGTACACTATTTTACTATGTACACTATTTTACTATGTACACTATTTTACTAGCCTCCTTAGACAGTGGTTAAGAACTAGGCCCTGTTTATTCTATACTTAAACCCCTAGCACCGCGTGAAGTATTGTTTTTGTATTTAGATTATATATATATATATATATATATATATATATATATATATATATATATATATATATATATATATATATATATATATATCTTGACTACTCAGAAGACAAATGCAGTATGTCAATTTGTATGAAATCAACATACATTTATGTCTTTATTGACATTCTCACCGGCTATCAGAGTACAAATGCGAAATGTCAGAAAACTAGGTGCAGATAAGTTCGAAACGTCAAAACAAAATTCTTTGCACCGTTGTTTTCGATGTAAATGTAAATATATATATATATATATATATATATATATATATATATATATATATATATATATATATATATATATATATATATATATATATATAATATAAATATAAATATAAATATATATATATATATATATATATATATATATATATATATATATATATATATATATATATATATATATATATATATATATATATATATATCAATGTGTCCATCTCTGCCCAGTATGGCCTACTGAAACCTAGTGACCACTACAAACTGTTTAAACTTTACCAACCCATAGACTGTGGAGTGGATGTGGCCCTTTGTCAGCAGGTATGTACACAGTACACCCCATTCTGTCAGACATGTACATTGTAGCATTCTTTAATTTGTCAGCAGGAATGTACAATTTACACTTCATTTTATAAGCAGGAATGTACAATTTACACTTCATTTTGTCAGCAGGAATGTACAATTTACACTTCATTTTGTCAGCAGGAATGTACAATTTACACTTCATTTTATAAGCAGGAATGTACAATTTACACTTCATTTTGTCAGCAGGAATGTACAATTTACACGTCATTTAGTCAGCAGGAATGTACAATTTACTCCCCATTTGTTAGAAGAAATATACTCTCTACACCTTATGTTTTGTCTATTAAACCAAGTACATCTTTGATCCCCCAAGGGCTAGTCTGATTGTTATTCATAGCCTCACAGACGCACGCTTCTTCGCCATTTCACAATTTAATTTTTTGAAAATTTAAACTGGTTAAAATAACTTTAACCATCAAAGCAGGAAGTTGGGTTAATGCCCTAGACACAACCTTTCGCCTAGGGTTAAGGTTAATGCGAACTGGCGCAGTTCCATTTTTACAGACTTTCCACAAAAAAACGGACCGCTTTGACCGTCCGTTACTCTATGACCCTTCCACTTGACCGTTGGTGATCGAAATGTCAATGCACTCAGTGCTAGTTTGGCCGTTAGCCGTAAAGTCAGCCAGTTCCAGGGTATTAAAGCTAATTTGTTAATGATTTCCTAATGGCGGAGAAGGATTCCGAGAGACCACTGGTTGTTCTGTAGACAAAGTTCTTTTATGTTGTTTTTTTGTAGGATTGACAACAAAAAATGTGTGCATTGGGTGATTTTTGTGAGTGTTAGCATTAGTTTGTGATATAGTGGGTTGAGTATTTTAGAAAAGAGTAGTTAGATGTAGCGTTAGTGTGTGTTGTAGAGGGTTAAGTATTTAGGTGTAACATTAGTTTGTGTTGTAGAGAGTTAAGTATTTAGGTGTAGCATTAGTTTGTGTTGTAGATGGTTAAGTATATAGGTGTATATAGGTGTAGTATTAGTTTGTGTTGTAGACGGTTAAATATTTAGGTGTTGCATTAGTTTGTTAGAGGGGTTAGGGTTACGTTTAGTAAATATTTTGTGCTATCTGGGTTTTTTATTGACTCACTATTAAGTATTCTAGTGAGCCATATGGGTTTGTTGTGAAGTTTAGCAAAATGACATTTTAGACCCGAGGATTCTGCACACGCTCCTGCTCCTACTAACTAAAGGCCGAATGATGTTTACCTTTCTCATAGAGCTAAAGGCCGAATGATGTTTACCTTTCTCATAGAGCTAAAGGCCGAATGATGTTTACCTTTCTCATAGAGCTAAAGGCCGAATGATGTTTACCTTTCTCATAGAGCTAAAGGCCGAATGATGTTTACCTCTCTCATAGAGCTAAACGCCGAATGCTGTTTACCTTTCTCATAGAGCTAAAGGCCATATGATGTTTACCTTTCTCATAGAGCTAAATGCCGAATGATGTTTACCTTTCTCATAGAGCTAAAGGCCGAATGATGTTTACCTCTCTCATAGAGCTATAGGCCGAATGATGTTTACCTTTCTCATAGAGCTATAGGCCGAATGATGTTTACCTTTCTCATAGAGCTAAAGGCTAAATGTCGACTTATTCTCTCATAGAGAAAAAGGCCGAATATTGTCTTTCTTCATGATTGAGCTAAAGGCGAATAATTTCTTACTTTCTAACTGTACTAAAAGCCGAATGAGGTCTTACTTTCTCAAAGAGTTAAAAGACAAATGATTCTCCCTCTTTCACTGTCATTACATAACACATGAGGTAGAACACATATCAATACAATCTTGGCTTCATGCCAAACTTCGATGTTAATAATTCTGCAAACAAAAAAATAGAAAAAAAATCTAACACTGACCGATATCTTTTTTGTTTCCAGTTAGATGCTGGACATTCTTTAATACAGATGATTCAAGATAGAAATGTGTAGCTAACAAATCTCATTTGTTTCAACATTTAAATCCTAGACAATTTTTAATCCATAGAAATGTGTAACGAACAAACCTCATTTGTTTTAACATTTAAACACAAAACAACCTGTGAAATGTATAACTGACAAATCTCGATTGGGTTTTAACATTTAGTCACACGACAATCTGTGAAATGTGTAGCTAACAAATCTCCATTGTGTTTTATAACTGACAAATCTCCATTGTGTTTCAGTGTTCTGAAGGTTGCAACACCCACTTCACCAACTTGTCTGATTGCCACAACACCTGTGTAAGTTTTTACTTATAATTTAACGTCAAAGAAATGGACCTACAATTGGGTTAGCCGTACCCACCCCCTTGACACATATCATGGGTTAAACCTACAGTTATGATATGAACTGGGATTTTAGTATTGTTCTTAGCGATACTAGTAACTTAGTTTATTTTGATACGACCAATCTTTGAGTAGGATAAAGATATCGATCGATTACTTAACCCCCTTAATCCACCAGAGCTTGTGTAAATTGAATTGTGCGTTACAATGTCATAATTAGCTGTATAAAACTAACCGTATATCAAAGCGCTCAATCAATGAACTCATTATACAAAACTCATTAAACCAGCCCATTATACAATTATCCCTCGGCTAATCACAATCGCACTCATTTAAAGCAATAATTAATTGTTTAATGCATTAACTCGGATCTCATCTGGCCTTGGGGAAATAATGAGGGTTAAATTACAGTCATTTAGATTTAAATTTAGTTCGCTAATACAGTTGTTGATTTAGATCTAGTTCCGCATTTGATATTCCTTGTAAAATATTAGCTATTGCGTCAGCGTTCCATATCCCATGTTAGATATATTCAGGGGTCGGCGTGGTAAAAGCTCATGGTTGCTAAACCGAAAAGTCTGAGTTCGAACCCTCGGGCAGATGGGGCTCGTTAGCTGGGGACAACTACTCTTCTAGGAGAGACAACTTCAAAATCAAAGAACTGCTGTCTTGTAGTTTGTTCTTCGTTAAACAATGGCTATGGAAGCAAATCCATAAAGAAAAGCAGGCTGAAATTTGGAGTCAACGGCTTGTATTGTGCATAACAAGTTGACACGTAAAATTGTGAATTGTGTTAAAGGGAATCCCTTCCAAAATTAAAAATTAAGGACGAAGAAGAAGAAAGATGATATTTGTCATTACATCATAGTTCCATATCCCATGTAACAAAATTTCTTTTGTTTGTGTCATAGTTCTATATTCCATAAATAGTTGCCACGATGTCATAGTTCTATATCCCATGTAAAATTCTATTGTTTGTGTCATAGTCCCATATTCCATGCAACAAATTTTCTATTGTTTGTGCCAGAGTTCAGACGTGTGTACAGAAAGTTGTTTATTTCTGAACTCTACTCTCCTGGAGGAATCAAGGTTTGCAGGTTGGAAAATTGTTTCTTGTGTGTGTGTGTGTGTGTGTGTGTGTGTGTGTGTGTGGCGGGGGGGGGGGTTGTGTGGAGGTTTTGTGTTGTTTGTGTTTGGATGCATTTGTTTGTCTCAGGTCTAGTATTATGTATTGATGTAGTATTTTGTGTAACATAATCAACTGGAATATTGCTACCATGTTACACGAAGTTTTAAGTACTGGCTTTGCTTGTAAATATTTCGATTCTCATGAAGCTATACCCGTTATAGATTTTACTGATATTGTCGTAACAATATTACAGCGTTTACGTCTATTGGTTTATTGCGGTTTTTTTTTCTGCTTAGTTAATCACGCTTAATATATGTTACTTTATGTCTATTGATTAGTTTCTAGTCTTATTGCTTTTACCAGAAACTCTCATTGAAAAAAAAAAACCAAGAGGTTTATAAAATAGGGGTAGCTTTGAACAGCGTGGGTCAATTCGTCTTGTAAACACAGGTCAATGACCTCTGTAGACAAGGGTCAAGGGTCCCTAAAACACGGGTCAATGACCCCTGTAGACAATGGTCAAGGTCCCCTAAAATACCCATCAATGACCCCTGTAGACTAGGGTCAAGGGCCCCTAAAACACGGGTCAATGACCCCTCTAAATATGGGTCTATGATCCCTGAAAAAACTGGTCAATGTCGTCTGTATTAAAGAATATCATCCCCGTTTTTGGGAACGGCGTGGTCGGGTGGCAGAGCTCATAGTTGCTAACTCGAAATTCCCGAGTTCCGTAACCGCGGGTGGTACTAAGCTTAAAGCTGAGCATTCCATTGGACTATTCCATCAAACCATCGAGAAACGGGTTCCTAGGAAATCCTTGACCTCATTAATCTGTTGATCTGGTGGATGCCCATAGAATTGAATTACTCTCGTTACATCCATTGTCTCCCAAGACGAAGGGAGCGATGTTTAGTGTTTTTGTTTGTAAACGTAGGTAACTGATCCAGGTCAAAACTGGACATTTATTCATGTTTACATGGGACAACGCCCCGTTTACAGTGGACATTCACCTTTGTTTACAGATGATATAGACCCGTGTTTACAGGATACATTGACTTCTGTTTACATATGACAATACCCGTTTACAGATGACAATTACCTGTTTACATATGACAATTACCTGTTTACAGATGACAATACCCGTTTACAGATGACAATTACCTGTTTACAGATGACAATTACCTATTTAATATGACAATTACCTGTATACAGATGACAATTACCTGTTTACAGATGACAATTACCTGTTTACATATGACAATTACCTGTTTACACATGACAATTACCTGTTTACAGATGACACTTACCTGTTTACATATGACAATTACCTGTTTACATATGACAATTACCTGTTTACATATGACAATTACCTGTTTACAGATGACAATTACCTGTTTACAGATGACAATTACCTGTTTACATATGACAATTACCTGTTTACATATGACAATTACCTGTTTACAGTAGCCACTGATGGACCACCCTCTATATGTAGTAAACAAAACGTTTACATGTAAACATGGGTTTATATCCCGTGTAAAAACGGGTCAGTCTCCCCTTGTAAAGCGGGTCAACGCTCGGTGTAAACGAATTAACGCCCAACAATAAAACGGGTCACCTGTATCAGCCGCCATATTGAATGAACCAGATGAACGCAGACATCAATCGAACCCCCGAGATCGATACAACAATGCACGTGACGGACGCGCACGAGACGAGGAACAACAAACGCGGAAATATTCATTGACGAACACATTCGTAACTCACCGAGATGGGATCTTACCTTTTTTGGTGATAGAGGCTGATTTGAATAGCTAATTTATTCACTTTGATCACTAAAATTATTACCAATCATCAAAGAAAGGTTTTATTAAATTAGCACGAGTATAAAGAATTGTTAAAAATGCTTGGTAAATTAAGCGTTGGGTATTTATGTATCTTTTTTTGGGATCAGCGGAACAATGCCGTGGCTTATTCAGTAATTCCACCAGCGGGGTTTTAAGGGTTGTAGTTCTTATGTAGGTATTAGCCCGTTAAGATTCTATTTGTTGTGTGGGATATATAGTCAAGTGTTGAGTGTTGGGTGTAAAGCTTTGATTTATTGTCATGTTTTGTGTACACTTGTTCGAGAAGAGGAATGGGGTTGTTAACCCCTCCCCCCTCCCATAAACTTCGTTTAAAAGGTTACGAGATTAGTGGGTCAATTAGGTGTGATGAAAGGGTTAAGGAAGATTTGGATTAGTGAGATGATTGGATGGATGGTTGGAAATGGGTTTGTACGAAGATTGTGTCAATTTTGCTGGTTGTATTTAAATATTTTGTTGGTGTTGTCCACGGTGGGACAAAGGCTGGTATCGAAGATTATTTTCTACGGTGTGTCCATGGCAATATGTCAGGTGGCATCCGGGGTAACATCCCAGGTGATATCCTAGGTGATATTCCAGGTGATATCCCAGGTGCTATCCCAGGCGTTATCCCATGTGCTATCCCAGGTGATATCACAGGTGCTATCCCAGGTTCTAACCCAGGAGTTATCCCATGGGATGCCCTTGTAAGCATTCTAGGTATGATCCCTGGTGTTATCCTAGGTGTACCACCAGATTAGGCCCCTGGTGGTACTGTAGGTGTAATCTCATGTGATGCCCTTATTGATAGGTCTTTTGGTGTCTGTGTTTGTGCTCACTGTTGAAACACACCTTCCGCTGTCATCTGCAATGTTCCTGACCTTTCCAACTAAACAAACCCTCAAAACTGACCCCTGCTATCTTGGAACTACTCGTGTTAATCTGCGTCAGGTCAAAACACGGCCCATTATCCACCAATCACTTAGATTATCTTGCGTTAATCTGTGTCAAGATAAAATCTTGGCCAACAATCTGCTTTAATACTCAGATTATTATGCGTTAATCTGTGACAGATAAAACCTTGCACCATAATCCACCAGTCACTTAGATTATCCATCGTTAATCTGTGACAGAAAAAAACTTGCACCATAATCCACCAGTCACTTAGATTATCCATCGTTAATCTGTGTCAGGTAAAATCTTGTCCAATAATCCAACAATCACTTAGATTATCCATCGTTAATCCGTGTCAGATAAAATCTTGTCCAATAATCTACCAATCACTTAGATTATCCATCGTTAATCTGTGTCAGGTAAAATCTTGTCCAATAATCCAACAATCACTTAGATTATCCATCGTTAATCTGTGTCAGATAAAATCTTGTCCAATAATCTACCAATCACTTAGATTATCCATCGTTAATCTGTGTCAGGCAAAATCTTGGCCAATAATCTACCAATCACTTAGATTATCCATCGTTAATCTGTGTCAGGCAAAATCTTGGCCAATAATCCACCACTCAGATTATCCATCGTTAATCTGTGCCAGGTAAAATCATGGCCAGCAACCTGCCCCAGCAATGCACCAACGTGAACGTCACACACCCAGAGCTGGTCTGTTTTGAGGCTAGCGTCCGCCATCCCAGCGAAGATGACGTCGGTGCCTCCATGAAGGTCAAGTGGAATGTGCTGTCGGGGAGCGGCGAGGTCTCTAGTTGCAGGTTCGGATTCCTGGTGGAGATACAGAACCGCAGTCAGTCCCAGTGGAGCGTTCTGGGAATAGTGAGTAAATTTGTTTTTCATTTTAGGAATAGTGAGTTACTTTGTTGTTCATTCTAGGAATAGTGAGTTACTTTGTTTTTCATTCTAGGAATAGTGAGTTACTTTTTCTTCCGTTCTAGAAATAGTGGGTTACTTTGTTTTTCGTTCTAGGAATAGTGGGTTACTTTGTTTTTTTCGTTCTAGGAATAATAGTGAGTTACTAAGTTTTTCATCCTACGAACATGAATTAAATTTGTTTTCAGTTATAGAAATAGTACGTTAAATTATTTTCCTTAAAATTTTTAACAAACATTTTTGGTCGATTCCTTACAGTTGAAACTTTCAATATAATAATAACGGTTCCCAGAAAATTGGGCAATCGGAAAACTGCGCAACGGAAAAAAGCGCAAACAGAAAAATGCGCAAATATAAAATAATTATACTAATTCACTTTAATTTTGTTATATTTCGTGGAAATATGTTTTATTATGCTACAATGTACATATATCAATTCTTTTTTTAAATGTCTGTAAAGCTCTATTTAAGGAAATAAAAATGTCCTCTCGTACATTTTTGTGTACACTTTTTCATTGCACATCTTTCCGGTCACCAATAATAATACCTAACACAAGATTCAGTTGATGTTTAAGTTAATTTTTTTCAAATTTTTGAAAACATGAATCACAAAAAAAAAAAAAAAAAAAAAAAAAAAAAAAAAAAAAAAACAACCACAGTATTTTCTTTTGATTTGAATTGAAATAAACCGGGAGTGATCTCACCTAAACTTTCTCGAATATTCTTATATAACTTGGAATGTAGACATGATTTTTAATTACTTAAACTTTTAAAAATAGAATAGAATCTCATAGAAAAAAGAATTGCGCACCAAGCGAACACCAAAACAAAATGTGCATAATAGTGCGCAATATTATTAGCACTTTATAAATTTACATGCATTTTTTGAGAAATCGGAAATAGCGTAAATTACTACTTCCGGTAAACAGAAATTACTCAAAATTTGACAGAAGGTAGAGAAATAGATCTTTTACTTACATGTGAAATTTCATTTATCTATCTGAAATAGTACTCAAGTTATAGCCTTTTGAAAAATTCAAAGTAGAAAAAGTACCACTTCCGGTTATCGGAAATAGCTCAAAAGTTGATACTGATCTACGATTTTGATAAAATACTTATATATGAAATTTCATCAACCTAGCTGTAACGGTACTCACAGACACACACACACAGACATACGGACAAGATTGCAACATTATGTTTTTCCGTATCAGTGAGGTGTAAAACGTCGAGATTTGTAAAAATCTCGATTTTTTTGCACGATTACAAGACTTTCTCTATACTTCGTATATACCAGAAAGTAAAAAGTGTCAGCACTTTTAGCTTCTCAAAAAAAAAAAAAAAAAAAAAAAAAAAAAAAAAAAATAGCAGCCTCGACCGTATATAGACGTAGAGTGTAATCACTATCTGAGTGTAGGGTTTGTCTTACGTATAATTTTAGCCCCCGACGTACAGGTAATTGACCATCGGTCATGTGAAGGCCTCCTGTAAATCATTCTTGTCGTGGACCAGAGGCCCTCAGTGATCGATAAAAAAAAAAATAAAAAAAAAAGAACAATAAAGCTTTACAAAACAGTAAAATATCACAACAAAATCTCAGTCTTTTCTTTATAAAGAATTTCCCCCCGACCCGTAAACAACATCATCCACTTATTAACTGTAATGCTAATCTATCAATTAAAAATAAATGAACTCGCTCCATGTAACAAACATATCACTCATCAAAACTCGGTCAACCGTGAAAGTTGAGCAAGCATGACGTATATTCTTTCCGTCACATTGACTTCCCCCACCAGTGATCATTGTTACCATGATCTATTATTCAAAAGCTTGAGCTTTGAGCTGCTCTTCAAAGATGCTTTCATCCTTTCAGACCAGCTTCGCTGTGATTGTTGTAGAGAACCTAGCGGTTGGCGGTGAGTACAGATTTCGGATTCACGTGCTCGACCAAAGCGGGTTCGTGAGCAAAGAGGTTGTGTCTGATTGGATCCGTACCCCAAAAGGTAAACAACAACAGATGATGTCATACCCTCATCTTTATGTTATTGGTAAACAACTGTGTTGTGATGCGTCGTCTCAATGTTGTTAGTAAACAATTTTTATTTTAAACTTAGTCTCTATCGTTTTCGTTTTATGAGATTTCTCCTATATCTAATTAGTAATCAATTGTCTGTGTTATGATACTTCGTCTCTATGTTGTTAGTGAACAACCGTCTGAGTTTTTTTAAAACTTCGTCTCAATTGTGTTAGTAAACAATGACTTGTTTTATAACATTTCATAACATGAATCGATACCATCATATACGTTAAGTATACCTGATGTAGACTCCAATAGAACCGTATATTTACTTAAGTCTCCCGATTACGTTGAATAAAACATGTATCGATACCATCATATACGCTAATAAGTATGCTGATGTTGACTCCAATAGAACCGTATATTTACTTTAGTCTCCCGATTACGGTGAACAAAACATGTATCGATACCATCATATACGCTAATAAGTATGCTGATGTTGACTCCAATAGAACCGTATATTTACTTAAGTCTCCGGGTAAAGGTAAATAAAACATTAGGTGGTAGCATCCAGGCCTCCATAACTAGCCTTATCGTGAAAACATCAAAAAACATCAAACACAAAGAGGGCCGTCCACACATTGAAGGAGGCTGGATGAATTTTAAAACAACTTATTGATGTGAGTTTTGTTGACAGATGTCCCGGTTATAAAGCTAATCTCCATCTACACGCACAGAATATTGACTTAGAATTGACAAGTGACATGTGTTGTTATCTTAACCTATCTATTTTTAGCCACGGCTTTTGTGTTTATGAGTAAGGTAAAATTTAATCTTTTGTTGATAGACTTACCAACAATATTTCGGATTCAGTTGTAGCCATTGCCTGAAGGTCGAGATATTATGGGATGTCCTTGGACGTAAAATGGAGTAATCAGGAAGTTTCTTTCAGGCAGAGCCCCCCCCCCTCCGCAGAAAAAGTCTACCGCCTCTCCTCCCCCGAACGAAATAGAATTTATATAGAAAAATATATGCTTTTAACAGTGTCCGCCTCCCCACACCCCCTCCTGGAAAATTTAGTCCGCCACCCCGTCACAAAATATCAAGTGACCCCCTCCCCCGGAGAAAAAAAATTCTGAAAAAAAAACAACGGTCAGGAATTGTACAACCCCCCCCCCCCCAACCTAACCTGTCTACGCCACTGGGAATATCATTCCTCTGCCCTGAGTGCAGCGAAAGACAATTGGAAACAAGTGCCATGTTCGTGACTTATGTCTTGCTCACTGTACCAGTAACACTGTCCTTTGAGTTTAGTTGCCGTATGGGTCGGGTGTTTTGACTAACTTAAAAGTCTAATATTTACTAGTCTGGAAGTCTGGAAATTTGACAAAATCTAAATTCTAATATTTACAGTTCTGTAGTTTGGAACTTTTGGGAAATTTGGAAAATTAAAATTGCTAATATTTACTGGTGTGTAGGCTTGGAACTTTGACGAACTCGTAATTCTAATATTTACTGGTCTTTAGGCAGTGGCGTAGCTACTACACAGCAAGCATTAGCAAGTCATAAGGACCCAGGGAACATACAGGTCTTTTCCCTCTTTGACTGAAGCACATTAAAAATGTGTACTTTGGAGATTTAAAAAATAAATAATATTTTTATAACGCTATTAGGTAAGCTACTGCACAATAATAGTATAAAATACAGTATAAATGTATCAGAATGTATAACTATAATGGTATACAAACTGTAGCATACCAGTAGCCGATTTCTTTGATGGCCAAGTGTAACTTTGTTACTTGTACCCTAATGGCTGATAAGGGTGCCTATTGATAATTTTTGCATTAGGGCTCGGAAATCCTAGCTACGCCACTGTCTGTAGGTCAGGAAATTTGACAAATTCAAAAGTCTAACATGTACTGCTCTGTAGGTCTAGAAATTGGACACACTCAAAAGGCTGATACTTAAGCTAATGGGGAAAGATCGGATGTTTTGACAAAATCAAAAAGCTGAATTTTAAACCAGACGAGAGCACAATCACAACTATGGGGAATTAACTCGCTAACGAAGTCACGCTATGGAACTCTTAAACTCCCATTTTATTTTTGTGAACTTTAAAGACGGCTACAATACGATGACCGAACAAGCGCGTTGTCATTTAACTTTCAAACTCCAGAAAATTTTAAAAAGCAAAAAAATATTAACGCAACTCTAAGAAAAAAAAATTACATTAAAATATTTCAGAACATAATTATCTGTTCACGGCTATTGAGGTCGGCGCATCATTTATAATTTCAATCGATCTCCTTCTGCGGGGAAGAAATATGAAATCTGTCTAAAAAATAGATTGATAAATTAAAAGATACAATGCCGCGGATGATGAGAATATTTCTTACTTTTCTTATGTGTTGTTGAGACCGATGGTTAGGTCGGTGTGACCTAACATCTATCATATTAACGAGAGGTCAGGCTAATGAGATAAGACGCACATACTCAAAAAAAATTATATCACCAGTTGCGTCGCCAGGTCGGGTGTCACCTCCCCCCCCCAAAAAAAAATACTTTGTCACCCCCTCTTCCTCCCATTTTGCCTAATGGCGTCAATTTGTGCGCACACTATATTAATCCACTAATTCATTAATGTGGAAAAAGCATCGTTTTCATCGTAAATTATTAGATTTCGATTGAGTTATCAGTTATTCAAAATACTCAACAAAACATTTTTTCCTCTATAAAGTTTGTAGTTGGTGTTACACTCCCCCTTCCCTAGGATGATAGTTTTTACGTGTTATAGTCAGTTATTAGTATAGGTAGATTAACTCTAGTCATTAATTGAACTGGCAAAAAGCATATTTCTTCTATATATTTTGCCATGGTGTCACCCCTTAAATGGTGTCACCCGGTGCTGTCCGCACCCCCGCCCCCGCCTCGCGACGCCACTGTATATCACCACTGTATTAATATGATGTGATCTTACATGTTAAAAGTACTTTGGTGCCGAGTGAAATACCTAGCCACAGTTGACAATCTACTTAATATGTAAAAGTTAGTTGGCCTTTAGAAATACGAAACAATTAAAACACGTTGGATTCTGATAGTGTCGACAACGTACTAGATTATCTAAAATGACAGATCCTCTACATGGAACAATTAGCCAGTGTAAAAGGTTATCTAACAATAACCATATTCCAACATTGTTGACTCTTCAACATTTGGAACTATCCGACAGTATTGATTATTCAAAATAATTGATTTTCTGAAAGTATTGATTACCCAACATAAGTTACTACCTAATTAAGTCAGTCGTTAATTAATAATTAATTAACATTCTCTGCGAAAGTTCAGCTGACTTTATGTGTTGTAGGCCTATATAGAGATAACGTTTGAAAATATCTATTTTCATTTGTTTCAGTATTTGTTAACGATAACATTGAACCCATCTGTATCTGTATCTGTTAACGATAACATTGAACCCATTTTTTCAATATCTGTTAACGATACCGTTGAACCCATCTGTATCTGTCAACGATACCATTGAACCCATCTGTATCTGTTAACGATAACATCTATTTCAGTATCTGTTAACGGTAACATTGAACCCATTGTTTTAGTATCTGTTAACGATAACATTGAACCCATCTGTTTACATATCTGTTAACGATAACATTGAACCCATCTGTTTCATTATCTGTTAACGATAACATTGAACCCATCTGTTTACATATCTGTTAACGATAACATTGAACCCATCTGTTTCATTATCTGTTAACGATAACATTGAACCCATCTGTTTACATATCTGTTAACGATAACATTGAACCCATCTGTTTACATATCTGTTAACGATAACATTGAACCCATCTGTTTCATTATCTGTTAACGATAACATTGAACCCATCTGTTTACATATCTGTTAACGATAACATCTGTTTCAGTATCTGTTAACGGTAACATTGAACCCATCTGTTTCATTATCTGTTAACGATAACATTGAACCCATCTGTATCTGTTAACGATACCATTGAACCCATCTGTATCTGTTAACGATACCATTGAACCCATCTGTATCTGTTAACGATAACATTGAACCCATTTTTTCAGTATCTGTTAACGATAACATTGAACCCATCTGTATCTGTTAACGATACCATTGAACCCATCTGTATCTGTTAACGATAACATTGAACCCATCTGTTTCATTATCTGTTAACGATAACATTGAACCCATCTGTTTACATATCTGTTAATGATAACATCTGTTTCATTATCTGTTAACGATAACATTGAACCCATTGTTTTAGTATCTGTTAACGATACCATTGAACCCATCTGTATCTGTTAACGATACCATTGAACCCATCTGTATCTGTTAACGATAACATTGAACCCATTTTTTCAGTATCTGTTAACGATAACATTGAACCCATCTGTATCTGTTAACGATACCATTGAACCCATCTGTATCTGTTAACGATACCATTGAACTCATCTGTATCTGTTAACGATAACATTGAACCCATCTGTTTCATTATCTGTTAACGATAACATTGAACCCATCTGTTTCAGTATCTGTATCTGTTAATGATAACATTGAACCTATCTGTTTCAGTATCTGTACCACTACCCCCAGAGAACATCACAGTGCGACAATATGTGGTCGGCACAGATTTCAGGGCGGAGCTTCAATGGGCGGTGCCTAACAGTACGTCATCAACTTTTCTAAATATATATAGATTATAGAGCACGGGTTCCCAACCTGGGGGTCGTGACCCCCCTGGGGGTCGCGAAGGTCTTTCTGGGGGGTCGCCAACTGGTATACTAAACCTTAGTAATTTGAAACAAAACATAAATATTTAGAAGAATTTTTTTTTAATTCGGCTTCATTAACATCACTGGAAATGTAATAGAGAAGAAACAAAGCGCACTGTACAAAGTTGTTCTCAGTCACGAATCTACGAAATCTTCAAAACTAAAACGCCATTTAAGACGAGTCATTCGAAACACACCAAAAAATATATGGAGTTCTTTCGTCGGTAAGAAGCTAGGTGCAAATGCCAGAGACTTGATCGAGCAGGAAGTTTTCTCCAGCATTAGTGCAAGTATCAAATGAAGTCGCGATAGAAAATGCCAAGCAAAAAAAAAAAAAAAAAAAAAAAACAATACGAGAAAATCTCATCAAACGCTGCATGTACGTAAATGTTAAATAACAAATTTTTTTTTGAAATTAAGCTTTCACTATTGTTTGCTTTTCAAGTTGATAAATCAACAGACGTGAGTTCGTGTTCGCATTTGCTGGTCTGTGTCTATATTCACGCGAATGATAGCAAAGAAGAGTTGCTCTTTTGTGAAGATAGCATGGAGAAAATAAATACCTTTTTTGAAACTGGATGATTAAAATGGGTTAGAAAGGCTGTAAGGGTTTGTACGGATGGTGCGCCATCTATGTTTAGCTCAAAATCGGGCTTTCAGAAAACAGAAAAGATTTAGCTCCCTAACCACTGCCCTAACCAATCGACATCAAGAGTCCATTGCTAGTATAAGTTGTAAATTATATAAAATCTGGAGCCTTCAACGAACTGAGCAAAAACATTAATATAGATCACGAGGTTCTGCTCTTCTACACTACAGTACGCTGGCTGTCAAACGAAATGTTGTAAATTGTGTTTTTGAATTGAAATCAAATTGTTTTTGGAAGTGCAAAGGAAACAAGACTTTTTGGTATACTTAAAACGACATAGAGTGGTTGGAGAGAATATCATACCTAGCAGATGTGTTCGAACATCAAGATAAGCTTAACCTGAAGCTTCAGGGAAAATGAACGAATATTATAACTTTCCATGATAATCTCGGGGCATTTTTATCAAAGCTGCAAAATCGGTAAAGAAACTAAATCTTGGAAATATTGTAAATTTGAGAAACTCTGTGGTGTGGTAGATGTATCTAATTGTGAGATAATTAAAATTTTGAAAGAAGCGATTTCTGGGCATACTGAATCTCTTGAAAACTAACTGCATCGCTATTTCTCTGAGCTGAAAAAAGAAGAATCTGCATTGACGCATTACCCTTTCTCTTCTTCCCTTGATGTTTCCAGCATTCCCGATGAATTACAAGATGAATTCTTTGATTTGCAGAATGATTCCGAGTAAGATGAAAAACTGCAGACACAATTTTGGTGTAGTATTCACCATTCATACCCAAACGTAAAATTGATTGACTTTTCGAGAATATATTTTAACACTATTCTTCGATTAAAAACAAAATTAAGATAATTATAATGACATAGGTTGACGTTAACAACATTTTTTAAAAATTAAAAACTTAACCACGAAGGTTTAGTGAATAGTATGCAATTTTACTCATGCTATTAAATAGTTATCAAGAGTAGTTGATATTGAAAGTCTACAAGAAAATCTTATTTTAGTGCTTATTAATTTCCATACTAATTTCGGCTTTTTAATTCTATGGGGGTCGCGGGTCACTTACTTTTTATAAAAGGGGGTCGCCACTTGAAAAAGGTTGGGAACCACTGTTATAGAGGCACCGGTATAAATATCGAAATAAGTGTTTAAGTTTACAACAAAGTTACCAATTAGGATGTATCCTCTAGATACCTTTATATCAACAATTAAGTAAAGTTCGCTTTTTTACCCACACGGTCAATGAAGCAAGTAGAGTTCACCTGTTTCTGTGACCTCGGCACATGAAGGGATAGTGTGGTCGACACTATGCTCTGCCGCCTTTACTTTCCCTAACGGGATTTAGGTATCCATAAGAGCTGGGTGGACTCAGGAGCTGTCTACTGACTTGACCCCGACTCGAACTCACGGCTTTCGGGTTCGCAGTCTAGCGCTCTATCGTTAGGCTATAACGTCCCATATATTAAAAATTTGGTAGAGAGAAAAAGTTGAGATTATTTACTGTAGAGTACATCACTGATGATTGTTATTGTCAACAGATGTTGGCTGTCATTTCGTCGTCTCCTATTTCTCGGGAATCAAAAGTGTCTACCGTGCTAAGGAGCATCGGGTGAGTGGTGGTTAATTATGAGTGGTAGTTAATTGTGAGTGGTGGTTAATTGTTCACATTTGATAGCACGCGCTGTTGATTATGTCTGAGTGTGCACCATTAGGATGGTGTTTGTAAGACTTGAAGTACAGGGCAACGTATGCTATCAATAGCCACGTACATGGCAGTTATTGCGACTTGACTAGTTCAGAGTGGTCTTTTGGTTGGACTTGAGGGAAGTTTTTGGAGTTGACTTAAAAGTCATCCTAGGGGTGGATAAGTCATCCTGGGTTGGTGTATAGTGTCGTCATAGGGGTTGAATTAAATGTCATCCAATGGGGTCGACTTAAGGGTCGTCTTAAGGGTCGTTTTAAGGGTTATTTTAGAGGTCCTTCAGGACCGACTCACAAACCAGTTTAAACGTTATGTTATAACAACACTATTTTTATAATTTAACGACCTGATAACGACCGTTATTTTAGAATATAAACATAAACCCATATTTAAAAGCACGGCATTTTAACTGCACAAACAAAAATCTAGAAAAAAACCCCAGAAAATATCATTAATTAAACATGACACTAATTACACTTAAATTGTAATTAAACAACATTTATAATTAACAAACAAAACAAGAACAACAACAATTACATTACATATAATTCACACCACTTTCACACCACTTTCTCACTGAATTAACTCGAGACTTCCGGTTCTCAGGACATTGTTGGGTACAAGTACGAGATATCCGGGCTGCTGTTTGACAGCTTCTACCACGTCAACATCCGGACCACCGACAGGAATCTAGAAGCTTCCAGCGGGCTCGTCAACTTGACCTTCGCCTCCCTCCAGTGTCTCAACGTCACCAACTACAACTACAGCCACTGTGGTGAGTACAACTACAGCCGCCACTGTGGTGAGTACAACTACAGCCACTGTGGTGAGTACAACTACAGCCACTGTGGTGAGTACAACTACAGCCACTGTGGTGAGTACAACTTCAGCCACTGTGGTGAGTACAACTACAGCCACTGTGGTGAGTACAACTACAGCCACTGTGGTGAGTACAACTACAGCCACTGTGGTGAGTACAACTACAGCCACTGTGGTGAGTACAACTACAGCCACTGTGGTGAGTACAACTACAGCCACTGTGGTGAGTACAACTACAGCCACTGTGGTGAGTACAACTACAGCCACTGTGGTGAGTACAACTACAGCCACTGTGGTGAGTACAACTACAGCCACTGTGGTGAGTACAACTACAGCCACTGTGGTGAGTACAACTACAGCCACTGTGGTGAGTACAACTACAGCCACTGTGGTGAGTACAACTACAGCCACTGTGGTGAGTACAACTACAGCCACTGTGGTGAGTACAACTACAGCCACTGTGGTGAGTACAACTACAGCCACTGTGGTGAGTACGGCTTCTGTGTGTCAGCGGTTCTCATGCTGTCACCGTTTTATGTGCTCTATCGGGATCAGTGTTTCTTCCAGGCATCCCACCCTCCCGAAAAAAGTCTACCCCCCTCCCAAATGATTTAGAATTCACATTGAAAACATATATTTTTAACAGTGTCCGCCAACCCCCCCCCCCCCTTCGGAAAATTTAGGCCGCCCCCCCCCCCCCCCCCCGAAAATATCAAGTGCCCCCCCTCCCCCGGAGAAAAAAAATGTCTGAATGAAACATTGTGCGGGATCAAATAAATATGTCATAAGCATTCCTGTAAAAGGATCACAAAGTTATCAATTAGCCATCCCACACTGAGATCCATGTCACAAATTAGCCAGCCTATAATTAGATCCACGTCGCCAATTAGCCAGACCATAATTAGATCCACGACACCAATTAACCAGCTTACATGTGGATCCACATTTCACCAATTAGCGAGCCTATGTGCCACCTATTACACCACACATCCCGTGATCCCATTGTCAACGTCTTGTCTAAACCCACCATAACACTGGTAGCTTGTAACTGATAGCACACTAACTCAACTGATTCTGCGATAAATAAAACAACAAAAACAAGTCGACTAAAAATCTAAAAAAAAAAAATATATAGAGAAGCCCTAGTGTTCGTGGTGTCACTGACCTTTGATAGCGTGTGGTTCACAAAAGATCTATGCCACACGAAAAGGGACACACAATACGCCGTTTCTGGTGCAACGTAAGCGGATGTCACTAATGTCTCTCTGTTATTGGTCTTCACCCAACACAAGCATCTGGGGTTACAAGTTCCTTGTATTTTACATTCAGAGCTAAAGTCGTGAGCTAAAAACAGAGCTCTTCAGCTAATGGAGGAACACTAGCTCCACGACTCGGCTCACATGTATTTGGTCTAACCTGATTTAACCTTTAGACTGAGCTCAGCTGATGGATCGGCAGACCAGTTTATGGACACATATAACCAACCCACTTCACCACCCCCACTAGTATCTTCTCTCTATACAACTATTGGCGACGGTCGGTACGCTTGGGTCGTTATGTTTACGATTTCCGAAATCCGGATTTGCATTGATTTTTTCAAATGTTCCGTTGTGTCCCTTACATATATATATATATATATATATATATATATATATATATATATATATATATATATATATATATATATATATATATATATATATATATATATATATATACATGAAAGGGACACAATTGAAAGCCCACACCCCTCATTACAAAACTTGGCCTGCAACACTGCACGTCACCATCTCTGCTGTAATTAAGCATCCACCAAGGACCTAGTCCCTAACACAGGAACCATCTCTAGTCTTAACACATTAACCGAAATCTCGGAGATGTTTAGAGTGACGTAAAGTGACAGCCTGTCAGTACTTGAGGTACAGAATAGAATACATTAAGTCCACTTCTTAGACTTAGGAATATTTAGTAACCGTGTCTGTTTAAACAACCGGAATCTAATTATTTTTGAGTTCGTCACGACAGTGTCTCAAAATTAAAAATGATTTTTTTTTTGTAAACTACAAGGTGTGACTTGCAATAAACAATGTAAAAGTCAACCATCCCCTTTAGACCTAGAGATCCGCTGGTTTCAGGGTCGTTCTACTGACTTGGAACTGGATTCGAACTCAAGATTTTCCGGATAGAAGCCTACAGCTCTACCGATTAGGCCACGCCGTCCTAAACATAGTAAACATTCTTTTAACAACTACGGTCATACTAGCTTAGGGCTATGATTACACTGGGTCTACGACAAATTCCCGAAAGACACTTGCCCAAATGCCGTTTGCCCGAAGGCCGATTTCCCGAAGTGGCATTCGGGCATTTGTCGCATTCGGGCAAGTGTCCATTCGGGCATTTGTCGCATTCGGGCAAGTGTCCATTCGGGCATTTGTCGCATTCGGGCAAGTGTCCATTCGGGAAATCGGCCTTCGGGCAAACGGCATTCGGGCAAGTGTCTTTCGGGAAAACGTCCGGCTCCCGATTACACTGTATATTCCAACCACTTCCCCAACCCCTACTTATACATTTACCACCCTTAGTTATACAGGCAAATCCAACACATATTATCCATCAGTTTTTCACTCACCTACTCCAACCCCTATTCAAACACGACCACTTCAATCCATGTGGCCGCATGTGTAGCACATACTTTCAACCCCCTCCCCCCATCTGCAACCCCACTACCCCCTTTCTCAAGAACTGCGCGTCTTCAGAGAAAGCATCTATCGTCCCCACCCCTCTATTGAAAAAAATCATTTCATCATCCCCACCCCCAGAATTTCATTCAGGTATCTCATCCGGGGTGGGGGGGGGGGGGGGGGGGGGGAGGAGAGAGACGACTATCATGAAGCAAGTCTTCCGACCCCTGAACAAAATATAAAAAGTATATAATTTAAATTGAAAATATATACTTTAACTAGAGTCTCCCCCCCCCCCCCCAGCCAGAGAAAAAAAATCTGAAAGGAACACTGCACTCCACCCCTCAATTAAAACACATGCACTTCCTGACACAATCCCCGGGTCTCTAAAAAGAGCTCATCTGTATTACCCCTAGCCCTAACACAAACCAACATTACCCACCTCCCCCACCCCACTCCCTACTCAAACTCCCCTACTTCCTGTCTTCAGCGCCCGGCCCCATCAGAGACCTGAAGGCCCAGCTGCACGAGCCGTATGAGATCAACGGCTCCTACTTCACGGACATCACCCTGACCTGGCGACCCCCCGTCCACGGGGACAGGGACAAGCAGATTGAGAAGTACGAGGTCCGGTGGATGAAGAACCCGTCCGTCCAAATAGCGGACTTGGTGCCGGCAGACAGGCGCTACAACATCGTCAATGCGGTCAGTACTTTTTCTGGCTTGCTTCGGGTGGGGACAGGGGTGTGGCCCGGGGTGGGGGGAATGGACTTTTTAAAAAAAATTTTGGGGTGAGGGGAAGTGGACATTTTTGGGGTTGAGGATGGGGAATATTTTTGATTTTTTTGGTGTGAGGGGGAGTTGAAATTTTTTGGGGGTGAGGGTGGGGGGAATGGAATTTTTTGATTTTTTGGGGGTGAGGGGGAGTTGAAATTTTTGGGGGTGAGGGTGGGGGGAATGGAATTTTTTGATTTTTTGGGGGTGAGGGGGAGTGGAAATTTTTGGGGGTGAGGGTGGGGGGAATGGAATTTTTTGATTTTTTGGGGGTGAGGGGGAGTGGACATTTTTGGGGGTGAGGTGGAGGGGGGGGGGGCAGTTAAAAATTTCGTGAATGGTGGTTGGAGAATTAGCAGTTTACGGGAGTAGTGGGGGTGGGGGGGATCGGAAATTTTGAAATGTTCGGGTGTGGGGGCAGGGGTTGGAAACTTTCGAGAGTGGGGGTGAGGTGGGGGAGTTGACAATTTTCGTGAGTGGTGTTAGGAGGATTTGCGATTTTCGGGAGTGGGGGTGGGGGGGGGGATTTGAAATTTTCGGGATACGGTTTTTTTAATTACTTGCTTGTGGTAGCCATTCTTAAAAATGGGGTAAGTAAATATTTCCTCTTTAAGTAAATATTTCCTCTTTAATTAAAAATTTCTTCTGTAAGTAAATATTTCCTCTTTAAGTAAATATTTCTTCTTTAAGTAAATATTTCTTCTTTAAGTAAATATTTCTTCTTTAAGTGAATTTTTATCCTTTAAGTGAATATTTCTTCTTTAAGTAAATATTTTTTCTTTAAATATTCCTTATTTAAGTAATATTGCTCTTTTTTTACTCGAGGCGGAAGGGAGGGGGGGGGTGGAAGGTGGAAGGGAAGCTTGAGCACTCAACAATATCGGTCAAGTGCTTTTAAGTTTATTTTTCCTTAAATTGAATAGTCTCGACCCCATCACAAGTGCGGTCAGTTTTGAACGTTTGCTTAATTAAACTGATCTAAACGAAACAACATTGTCAGTTCGGTCAGAATTAAAACCAAGAGCCAAATTATTGGCCAATTAGTCTTCATTAGCAACTTAAATAAAAGCAGGAATCTGACGTCATGATTTAAATTAATTGTTTTAAAATTCACATGTCAGACCAGAATTTCAGATGTCAGTTGTAATAAGCAAGGACGAAAAATGAAAATTATTTAATTGGACTAGAAAACTAAATTACTACTTTAAAAACAATAACAAAAAGCTCAAAGACGGAGGCATATGGTTATAGAATAGGGTTTGATTTGTAGCTGTCATTTTTAAATTAAAAAAAAACAACAACACTAAATTAACTGATTTCATAGATGTCAATTTAATTATCATGGGGTTATAAAACCTGACCCGATTAGCGTGGATTAAACTGGCTGACATCACGTCAATTGTTGTCCTACAGGCGTTCACACCTTTACACCTATAGCGTGCTGTAAGACTTAAACTCGTTGACAACACTAAATTGCCGTAATATTTAAACTCGTTCACAACGGTAGCTTGCTGTAAGACTTGTAGTCGTTCACAATATTAACGTGCTGTAAGATTTTTTTGTTTTATTTCTCTCCGTGTGAGTAGTTGTCGTCATAGTGAATAAATTATCACAGTTAGTGAAAAAAAAGCTGGCTTAAAAACTAGAAATAAATTTCAATTTCTGAAAAGTGCCCAACTAGATAGAGTAAAAATCGAATCACCAATCATAAAACCATGTTATTCTAATGTCAAGTCTGAGGAACGCCAAGTATGATATTCTAATGCAAAGTAAGATATTCTAATGCCAAGTATGATATTCTAATGCCAAGTATGATATTCGAATGCCAAGTATGACATTCTAATGCCAAGTATGATATTCTAATGCCAAGTATGATATTCTAATGCCAAGTATGATATTCTAATGCCAAGTATGATATTCTAATGCCAAGTATGATATTCTAATGCAAAGTAAGATATTCTAATGCCAAGTATGATATTCTAATGCCAAGTATGATATTCTATTGCAAAGTAAGATATTCTAATGCCAAGTATGATATTCTAATGCCAAGTATGATATTCGAATCCCAAGTATGATATTCGAATGCCAAGTATGACATTCTAATGCCAAGTATGATATTCTAATGCCAAGTATGATATTCTAATGCCAAGTATGATATTCTAATGCCAAGTATGATATTCTAATGCAAAGTAAGATATTCTAATGCCAAGTATGATATTCTAATGCCAAGTATGATATTCTAATGCCAAGTATGATATTCGAATGCCAAGTATGACATTCTAATGCTAAGTATGATATTCTAATGCCCAGTATGATATTCTAATGCCAAGTATGATATTCTAATGCCAAGTATGATATTCTAATGCCAAGTATGATATTCTAATGCCAAGTATGATATTCTAATGCCAAGTATGATATTCTAATGCCAAGTATGACATTCTAATGCCAAGTATGACATTCTAATGTCAAAGACCATTACAAAAACGCCCAGGAACCCTATAAAAAATTTCTCTGCCCCCCCTCCCCCTCCCTCCAGGCATAAGGATAAATAAACCGGGAGTAATCTCCCGTAAACTTTCTCGAATATTCTAATATAACACTACGTGGGATGTCAACTCGGAATATAGACATGATTTTTGTTTACTTAAACTTTTAAAAATAGAATAAAATCTAGTAGAAAAAAAATGCGCACCAAGCTAGCACCAAAACCAAATGTGCGTAATAGTGCGCAATATTATTAGTACTTTAAAAATTTACATTAGTTTTTTGAGAAATCGGAAGTAGCGTAAAGTACTACTTCCGGTCAACGGAAATTACTCAAAATTTAACAGAAGGTAGAGAATTAGATCTTTTACTTATATGTGAAATTTCATTTATCTATCTGAAATAGTACTCAAGTTATAGGCTTTTGAAAAATTCAAAGTAGAAAAAGTACCACTTCCGGTTGTCGGAAATCGCTCAAAAGTTGATACGGATCTACGATTTTGATATAATACTTATATATGAAATTTCATCAACCTAGCTGTAACGGTACTCAAGTTATCGTGTTTACACACGGACACACACACAGACACACAGACACACACACACACAGACATACGGACAAGATTGCAAAATTATGTTTTTCCGTATCAGTGAGGTGTAAAACGTCGAGATCTGTAAAAATCTCGATTTTTTTTTTTTGCACGATTACAATACTTTCTCTATACTTCGTATATACGAGAAAGTAAAAACAAAATTTGAATCCTTCATTGAACGGCTCTTAAACCACGTACAGAACTTATACAACCAACCTGAATTATTTCAGTTCAGTGAACTTAAACTTTAAAGGAAAGTGAATAGGATCTATACTTAACATACATATGATAAGTCCTTTAGTTCTTTTTACAAGCTTTTATTTAACTCACTTCCTCGTCGGTCTGTCTGTCTTGACGGAAACGCAGGAGTGAAAATTCGGACAGTTCTACTTGACCGATACGATTCACAGTTGGCACGTGGGTCAAGACATGAAGACAATGCAATCTGAAACTAAATTTGACTTAATTGGATGCCTAATTGATTTTTTATGAATTAATTAAAATTTGGACCGAATTAGTAGGCATGTCTAGCCAACCACACCACACGCGTCATCAATAGCTGCGCCATCACGACCACGTAATGGCTGCGTTCAAAAACCATTGCGCGTCTACTGAACGTGATATTCAGTAGGCGCGCAATGGTTTTTAGTCATGTAACTCTATTGTAGATAAAACATGTAAAGTACTGAAAAAAAATTCATAAAAAACGTTTTAATAACAAGCTTTTATGTAATGATGCACTAAAAAGTAGAAAATAAATTATAGACTACTATTTAAATAACTATAAAGAAAAGCGTGGGTGTCTTCCTTAACATTAATAAAGGTATCCAATAGATACTAAAGTGACCCACGCTTTTCTTTATAGTTATTTAAATAGTAGTCTATAATTTATTTTCTACTTTTTAGTGCATCATTACATAAAAGCTTGTTATTAAAACGTTTTTTATGAATTTTTTTTATTACAAGCTTTTATTTAACTCACTTCCTCGTCAGTCGTCAGTCGACAGTCTGTCTGTCTAGACGGAAACGCAGGAGTGAAAATTCGGACAGTTCTACTTGACCGACACGATTCACAGTTGGCACGTGGGTCAAGACATGAAGACAATGCAATCTGAAACTAAATTTGACTTAATTGGATGCCTAATTGATTTTTTATGAATTAATTAAAATTTGGACCGAATTAGTAGGCATGTCTAGCCAACCACACCACACGCGTCATCAATAGCTGCGCCATCACGACCACGTAATGGCTGCGTTCAAAAACCATTGCGCGCCTACTGAACGTGATATTCAGTAGGCGCGCAATGGTTTTTAGTCATGTAACTCTATTGTAAATAAAACATGTAAAGTACTGAAAAAAAAATTCATAAAAAACGTTTTAATAACAAGCTTTTATGTAATGATGCACTAAAAGTAGAAAATAAATTATAGACTACTATTTAAATAACTATAAAGAAAAGCGTGGGTGTCTTCCTTAACATTAGTAAAGGTATCCAATAGATACTAAAGTGACCCACGCTTTTTTTATAGTTATTTAAATAGTAGTCTATAATTTATTTTCTACTTTTTAGTGCATCATTACATAAAAGCTTGTTATTAAAACGTTTTTTATGAATTTTTTTTACAAGCTTTTATTTAACTCACTTCCTCGTCAGTCGACAGTCGACAGTCTGTCTGTCTAGACGGAAACGCAGGAGTGAAAATTCGGACAGTTCTACTTGACCGACACGATTCACAGTTGGCACATGGGTCAAGACATGAAGACAATGCAATCTGAAACTAAATTTGACTTAATTGGATGCCTAATTGATTTTTTATGAATTAATTAAAATTTGGACCGAATTAGTAGGCATG